ACGTACTAATTATGTTAGACTATTTGTATAGTTAATGTGTGTAGTGGTTCGAGCGTTGTCTCAGGTATCACTATTTTTTTTACATCATATGTATTTATATTCTAATCTTGTGAAAAATAAATGAATTATATTACCTCTAATTTACTTAATAAATTAAAGGAATATAAAATATTATGTGGAATTTAAAACATTAAAAAAAGTTAGTTGAGATGGTAAATGTGTTACCCATATGTATCGGAGGATATGGGTTCGAATCTTGTACAAAGCATATTTTATTCACTTAAATGAACTGGCTAGCTTACGTGGTGCATATAATTTGAATGGTGACATGGCACACATACTTTGAAAAGTGTCACGTGACACCATTTCAGAGTCATCATCACACATATAATAAGGAGAGGAGAGAGAGTGAGAGAGAATGAAAAAGGGGTAGCTTGTAAATGCAAGGTAAAGAATTTACCCTAAAAGGAAACGTGCCAATTAAAAAAAAACTTCCTAAAAAGGAATACGTGTCAACTAAAAAGAAATGGAGGTAGTAATTATGTTAGACTATTTGTATAGTTATTGTGTGTAGTGGTTCGAGCGTTGTCTCGGGTATCACTATTTTTTTACATCATATGTATTTATATTCTAATCTTGTGAAAAATAAATGAATTATATTACCTCTAATTTACTTAATAAATGAAAGGAATATATAATATCATATGAAATTTAAAACATTAATAAAAGTTAGTTGAGATGGTAAATGTGTTACCCATATGTATCGGAGGATATGGGTTTAAATCTTGTACAAAGCATATTTTATTCACTTAAATGAACTGGCTAGCTTACGTGGTGCATATAATTTGAATGGTGACATGGCACACATACTTTGAAGAGTGTCATGATAAAAGAAACACCTTTTAAAACATATTCATCCGGTTCGCAGATAATAATCCCACCTATCGATTATTATTTAATAATCGCACCTTTGGGGGGCATCTTCTCCTATTGGTCCTTTATGACTGGTAACTTGAAGAATGAGTATTTTTTTTCTTTCTTTCCTCTATTCTCCCTCATCCTCCATGCCCCATCACATTACAAGTCAACTAACCATTCTCTCTCATTCCTTCCCCTTCCATGACTTTCCCACCTCAATTTCTCTCTCTTCATACCGAAATATAATAGATTAACAGTAGCAACAATAGGGGAAATGGGAAATGCGTAAGGCTGGGTGTTTCACGGGAGGGGAAAGGACAAATTTTATCGGGTGATGGTTTCGAGGGTAGGGGTTGGGTTTCGTGCTTAGGGTTGTCAACCATGGTAAGGCGTGGGTAGGGGTGGCTGACCTTGGGTGGGGTTTTTCGTGGGTGGGGCGGCTTGTCTGTGTGTGGGAGTGACCAACCATGAGTGGGGTTTTTCGTGGATGAGGCCGGGATGGCTGATCCATGGGTGAGGGTGCCTGTTTGGGCTGTTTTAGAGAGGAGGTGGTTGCGTGTAGGAGGTAGCTAGTCTGGGTGGCTGGAATCAATGGAGGGGAAGGGGAAAAGGAAAAAGGAAAGAAAATAAATTTTTTTTAAAAAATAAAAATAATTATTTGGACGAATCATAAATTGACACTTGACTTGTTCACCCACTATACCAGTTACTAACAGGTCAAGGACCATTAAAAAAGATGACCCTAAGGCCCCAATGGTGGGATTATTAAATAATAATCAATAGGTGGGATTATTATTCGCAAATTGGGTAAAGGTGGAATTATTAGAATCAACTTTTCCTATAAAAATATAAATGAATTAACATTTTATAAAATGTTGTACCAAACTAGCAATACATCAAAGTGAAACAGAATAAAATTAAAAAGGAGGTACAAATATTAGAATATTAAAAGTTTAATGCATCAACAACCTTAATGTTGGTATAAAATTTAAATTAATCTGTTTCATTTTTTTAAAAAAAAATGGTATATTATTGTTGTATTGGCATAATAATTCGTCATAAAAACAATGTATTGCACAAGACTTAGGCTAGTAATAAAAAAAAAAAAACGTGCAAGAGAAGGACGAAATAAAAAATATTGACACTTGGCATTGATCTAATATTGATTATATCGTAGCATAAATTATCATAATAAACCCCACCTTACGCCCATGCTAAAATTTAAAATTTCTACCGGACGCATTAAAAATTAAAAAATAAATCACCAATTTCGATCACAACTATTTTTCCAATAAAATAACAAGCAATTATCAAATTGATAGCTAAACAATCACTGATTTTATACCATCACCTAAAATTGTATGCAAACAACTCTCTAGGGCATAGGTAGTATATATTGTATAACATTTGTAGATGTCCAACTACTCCCACAATCCCTCTTTATTGGTATGAGTTGGCCATTTTTTTTTTTTTTACATTGCTTGGGGCCTGATAAGACAAATAATGAGATATAGAGAATTACAGTAGCTTAATTGGTTTAATTATAATACTAAAGGTTTGAGCACTACAAGAAAATAACCTTTTCGTAGCGATTATTTTAACCTTTAGTATCGATTGTAATTGCAACAAAAATCTTTCCCAACGAATGGTCATTCGATACAATATCCCCCTGTTGCCTTAGCCTTTAGTAGTGGTTTTCAATATCGCTGGGGTTGGCCTCAATAATCGATACGAAAAACTACATCCAATCGTGGTGATTATTGTAGCGATTACAATTGCTATAAATATTTAACTCATTTTCTTCAAAAAAAAATAAAAAATAAATATGCGTATGATCTTTACAAGATTCAAACATGCAATCTCAAACTATTATATTAAATGTTTTCCCAATAAGTTATGACATATTTTATGTATTCTTTCTCAAACAATATTTATATATCTAGTGTTGAAAAAGCTTTTCGTATCGATTTTTAGGATTAAGTGGCGATTGTAAATGATACGATTTCTCAAAATTATATAAATGTGTAAAAATCGTGTGGTTATGTATTTTTATGTTTTTCGTATCGATTTTATATGGGAAAACCCTGGCGATTGTAAAAATGATACGACATCCTTAATTATTTCACAAACATACTTGTATATTGTAGCGAATGTACAATCGCTACGAAAAGAGATTTTTCTTGTAGTGGAGATAAAATATAATCTATATTATTTACCCTTTATGATTCTATATATACCATTTTTTTTTAAAGCAATTCTATATATACCATATGTATATGTACATATAACTTTTTTTTTTCCTTAATAACAACACCGTATATAAAAATAAAGAGAAATTCTCTCTGGTAATCACGAACTTTATTTTTTTTTTCTCAGTGGTAAAACCTGAAACTTTTGATTATCAATGATAATCACGAATTAATAAAATTAAGCTAATGGTAACATTAATGATATTAAAACATCATTAAACAATTAACCAAGGTTAATCTTAGGTTAAGTAATAATAGATTTACATTAATACCATTCAAATTATTTTTTTTAAACAAAATAAAAACAAAAAATCCAAACCCCTCCCCGACCACCAGCCAACCACCAGCCCTCCTCCCTTTGCCGACGCTCAGCTCGGTGCGGCTGACGGCGTCTCAACCCTCTACCCCGCCGGAGAGCCCCACCACCAACACTCCAATCCCAAAACGAGTTCCCCTCCCTTATTCCCGACTCACCCTCTCTCTCCTATCATCCCACCAAATTAAAACCGCTTCTCAAGGACGCGGAACTCAGCCATCCTTCCTTGCCGGAATCAACCACCCTCCTCCCTTCCCCGATTCCGTCTCGTTTCCCGAATTTAGGTTGAAATTTCAAGGTTATTTTTTGTGATTTTGGGGTCGAATTTGTTGATTTAGAGGGTCAAATTTATCGAAATTGTTGTTTTTAGGGTCGAATTTGTTGGTTTTGGGTTCGAATTTGTTGGTTTTTGGCTCAAACTTGTTGGTTTTGTGATCGAATTTGTTGATTTGGGTCGAATTTGTCGATTTTTGGAGTCGAATTTGTCGATTTAGGGGTCAAATTTGTTGATTTTGAGGGTCGAATTGCTACTTTAAGGGTCGAATTTGTTAATTTTTGGAGTCGATTTGGTTAAATATGTTGATTTAAGGTCGAATTAGTGGTCAATTTTGTTGATTTTGGGATTTAATTTGTTGGTTTTGAGTCGAATTTGTCGGGATTTTGTTGAATTCGGGGTCTAATTTGTTGAATTCGTTGCTGCCGTCGCATTTGGTGCTGCCGCTGCCCTCTTTTTCCGACCTTAACAGCAGTTTAAAAATGGTGGTGGTGGCTTTAATGGAAGAAGATGGAGGTGGAAAGAGCTGAGAAAGGAAGAAGATGGAGGAGGAAAGACATAAGGGTATTTATGTCTTTTTACTGTCCAATAGCTAAACTATGGTAAAGAAATTAACAATCTGTTTAACTTAAGTTACCATTAGTTTTAAAATATTAATTTGTGATTACCATTGATAATCAAAAGTTTTAGACTTTACCACTAAGAAAAAACAAAAGTTCGTGATTATCAGAGAGAATTTCCCAAAAATAAATGTACTTTTATATAAAAAAATATACATCAAAATTAGCAAATTTTTTTCCCATTTAGAATCAAAGGATGATGCAAAATGTTACACTAGTTCTAATAAAGGTAGTGAATGATGGTGATTTCTGGACGTGCACGTTATCAACTATTGTTTCGTGTTGTTAACGAAAATGAATCAAGAGGTATTATGTCATACATGCTCATTGTTATTAATCCGGAAATAGAGTTGGGATTGGTATCCGAATAAGACTCTAGAACAAGCTACTTAGATAATCAATAATCAAGATCATCTTCTAGATCCATAACCATTTTAGACCAAAAATTTAACAGGACTAATTTTACAGCATTCACTATAACAATAGTAATAATAATAATTTTTATTAAAATTTTGAAAATCAAAGGTATAATGTATAATTAATTATGACAACATTTAAACAACATTTGATTTAAACCATGATGAAAAAGTGTGAATAAAATAACTCCACTTAGACCATAGTATAATTTTCAAAGTGTTAAACCATGATCCACTTTTGGATATTCCTTTCTTGTACTATACCAAACACGGGCCTATATTTCAAATTAGATGACGACTTCCTTTTCCTTCTCATGTACACTGCGTCTTTCCGCCACGTCTTTCTCCTTCACCATTTTCTATATAACCCATTCCTCTCTCTCACTTTCCCTTCTCACTCCTCCTCTTTCTCTCTCCTCTCTCCTCAAATATGGAAATCAATGGCGTCTCCTACTACCGTCACCGGGAAACACCTTCCTCCGATCACTTCCTCGACGTATTCTCCGGCACCTCCAACTCCTCCGCCGACATCTCCGGCGACGAGCTCACCGAAGCCGACCTCTTCTGGACCGGCGACTCCTCGGTTTCAACTCACTCCTCTTCATCTCCCGACCCTCGCCGTCGTACCCTAGGGTTCCGCCGTGAATCCGGAATCTTCGCCGCTCTCCCCGACGACTGCGATAATCGGAAGATTCCGATGATTCCGAGTCAGTTTCGGTCGATTCCGAAGGCGCCGAACCGAGTCGTCGGCGGGGAGATGTCTCAATCGGCGCCGTGTAGGAAGTTTCAGCACTCTGCTCCGGTGAATGTGCCGGCGATGATGAGGAAACCGAAGAGGTTCGGTCAATTGGACGGGTTTTCGGAGGAGAGAGAAAATGAAGAAGATGAGGAGATGCTTCCGCCGCATGAGATCGTTGCGATGAAGCTGAAATCGACGTCGTCGGTGCTCGAAGGCGTAGGAAGGACGCTTAAAGGTAGAGATCTGAGGCAGGTTCGCAATGCCGTGTGGCGCCAAACTGGTTTTCTCGACTAATTTCTGAAGAAAATGTTGGCAAATTTTTTCTTTTTTTTTTTTTTTTTTTTTTTGACTGGGGTTGGGGTAGGTGAATGTGAATGGAAGTTGTTTGTTTTTGGTTACTTCTTTCATTATCACTGTAAAATTAAAAAGAAAAAAACAGGGTAGAAAAAAGGGGGTAAAATGGTAAATATAGGTAGACACTAGTAATTCTGGTGGAATATGGCGTATGAATTGGTAACTTGCCAAGGTTGGAATTTTTTTTGGTTGTTTTTTGATAAAGAAAAAAGGCAAGGGTATTTTAGTCTTTTCAGTTGTGTAACGGTATTCCGTTTAAGTCTATAACATCGAGGTTTTGCGTGTTACACTATGCACATCTCGTGTGCTTGTATGGATGTTTATTATGTATCCGGATGTATCTATATAAGTCTATAAGATCAAGGTTTTGCGTGTTACACTTTGCACGTCTCGTGTGCTTGTATGAATGTTTATTATATATTCGGATGTATCTTTATAAGTCTATAAAATTAAGGTTTTGTGTGTTACATTATGCATTCTCATGTTCTTGTATGGATGTTTATTGTATGTCCGGATGTATCTAATTAAAGGTGGGTCGATTGATTTCATTCAATCAATATTCTTCCTACAAACTCTCAAACCGCAGGGTGCATTTTACGACTTTGTCGTGGGGCTAATGTTTGGACCCCCTGTGGGCCCATGTTCATTAAATACAGAAATTACCAAAATGCCCTTAGTTAAACCCTAAACAGGAAAATTCAATCATCATGTGCAGCACGCATCCCGAGAAACCTAATATAGCCCAACAGGGCCTAGCACGGCCCAGAACGGCCAGAAACCCTAATCCTAACCCTAATCAAGTTAGTTAATCCTCTCCTATAAATGCTAATCTACACAGTTTACTGACTTAACCGTCGGAGGGGCTTTCTCGGGAACACCCCCCGAGGCAGTTGACTTTCGTTGTTTTGCAGGACACGGTTTGACCAGACGAGCAATTCCCCTTCAACTTCGATCCGAAATTCTTTTGCAGAAATAGTAGGGATGTTTATTATATATCTCGGGTTTATAAGAGATCAATGTTTTGCGTGTTACAATATGCGCGTCTCACGTGCTCGCATGGAATGTATACACCTGGGAGTATAAATTAGATGCAATCAACTCGTGTGTAATACTGAGAATATTTGAATTTTATTTTGTGGACTAGAGTATGGGTATGAGGGTATCAATGAAATGAAAAATGTGTTGTTTAAATGTGGTGGTGGTGGTTGATTCACCGAATATAAGTTGTGTTGCAAAAGTGAACAACAATCTAGGATACAAATGGAAAGGTTGATTTGCATGGTGTAAACTTTGCAAGATCCTTTTTTGTGTGAAATTTTGAGAATAGTTACTTGGTAGTGGACAAAATATCATTGAATTTAGTGGGGATCATGGGTTTTGGAAGTATGTGACTTCAAACTTTCTCAATTCCAAGCAACTTTCTTTCTTCACCCACAAATTATTGTGTACCATACTCGGGCCTATTCACATTTACTTAATTTCAGTTAGTTCAATTCAGCTCTTATCAGTTTAGTTTAGCTCAATTTAGTTCAGTTCAACTCCAATCAGTTCAGTTCAGCTCCCAATTTCCCGCTCTCATAAAATATTCATTTCAAATCAGTTCAGCTCCAATCAGATTAGTTCAGTTCAATTCAGTTTAGTTCACTTCAACTCAATTCAGTAAATATAAAGAGGCTCTCACATACACACATTCAAAATCAATTCAAAATTCAATATCTCAGTTTGTAGGGGTGGGACTTTTCAAACCGAACCGTGAAACCGTCCGTTATCGAACCGAACCATCACGGATCGAACTGTTTATAAACCGCTAGTTTTAAACCGAAAACCGAACTGAACCGTATAATGTCAAACCAAAACCGAACCAAACCGATTAATGTTAACCCGTTACGAACCGTAAACCGATAACAAACCAAACCGTTTATAAACCGAAACCGTTTGAACCAATTAATGTTAACCCGCTAACTGTTTAAACCGAACCGATTATAAACTGAAACCGTTTGAATAGTAGGAAAAAACCGTTTAAATCGAACCATTTACAACCCGCTAACCCTTTACACCAAACCGTTGTAACCTGTTAAGCCGTTTAAACCGAACTATTTTCAAACCGCAACCCGTTTAAACCGATCCGATTACAAACTGTTTAAAACAAACCGTTTACAACCCGTTCCATTCAAATTGGACTACTTACAGCCTTTAACAATTTGTTAGAATTCCACGAATACATTTGATATTTAATGTAGTTTAACAGTACAATTTTTTGTACGTATAATTATTAATTTAAATTTATAAATTTTTTTGCTATTATAAAATTAAAATTATATTCTTGCATAACTAAATTAGGAGTTATAAATTGAATAAAAAAATTATAAAAAATCTGACCACCCACCCAATCCAACACCCTAACACCACCCCCGCCGTCACCCTAGACTCACCCTATCACCACCACATCCCACCACCGTCACCCCAGACCCACCCTAACACTACCCCCACCCACCACCGTCACCGTAACCCACCCCCACCCCACCACCATCAACCCAGACACACCCTAACACCACCCCCACCCACCATAATTATCATAACCCACCCCACCCCACCCCACCACCCACCGTAAATACAAAAAAACCCAGACCCAAACCCCTACCCACCCCATCCACCACCGTCACCGTAAATAATAAAACCCAGACCCATACCCCACCCCACCTACCACCATCACCGTAACGCACCCCACCCACCCCACCCACCACTGTCACTGTACAAAAAAAAAAAAAAAACCAGGCCCAACCCCAACCACACCCACCATCGTCACCGTAACACACCCCACCCTACCCCATACGAAAAAAATCGGAAAAAAACCCAAACCCACTGTAACCCCACCCCACCCATCCCCACGAAACCCAACATCCTCGAAACCCCCCCCCCAACTCACTCCAACTACTCACCCACCATAAAACTCCCTCCCTCCCTTGAAAAATCCTCCCTCCCCTCCCACCCGAACCCACTCTAACCGCCGCCGAACCCACCCTAACTTGGCCCCCTCCGTCGCCCACAACCTGAAAAAAAAAAACAGAAAAAAAAGGAAGAACGAAAATACCTTATATATTATTATATTAATCCCGAATTTGGCCTCGAATTTGGTTTTAAAAGGCCAAATTCGATCATGAAACAACTAGATCTAGAGTTTCGTGGTCGAATTTGACCATAAAAACCGTCGTGCGTGGTGCCGGTGGACGGTGACGGAAAGCGAGATGGAAGAAGGAGAACATAGATGGAAGAAGGGAAAAGAAGAAAGGAAGATGGAAGAGGAGATGAGAGAGAAAACGGGAGAGCAGTGAGCATATTAGCAGCCATGGCTCAAAAAATTGATAATATTACAGAAGAGGAGAGAGAAAACGAGAGAGAAATCAAAGAGTACTAAAGAGACAATGGTAAGAGTGATTTGATTAGTGGAAAAGAAAACACACGGATCATGAATTGGAATGTGTGCGATGATAGGCCGTTAGATGACATGCAAATCAAATAATCAATGGCTGATATTTAATTTAAGACGGTGACACGGATCGTGGAATGATGGATTAGGATAGTATGTTTTTTTTTTATTCATAGCTACGTACTAATAAAAACACTACTGTACTCTTAAAAAATGATTAACTTTATGTAACTTATCCATTGTAAGAAACAGAAATGTTTGGAAATTCAAATTGATTCAATACGACATATTTAATGTATATTAGTTATTATATGTAATAAATAATAATGTATGGTACGATTGGTATCATACTATCATTGGTATGAATAGATAATCAATAAATGTATCTGATTATTAAAACTTAAAACAGTTGATGATCGATCTAATTGAATACTTCTACTTCTCCATCCGTTTTCTTTAACTTGCAAGTTGCAACATATATATGTTGCAGCCTTGTAGGCACGTAATCTTAAAAGGTGATCAGAGAGGGTAAGAGAACAAAGTAATTCAGCAATATAACTTTAACACCAAAATTATGGAATAGTTACAAACAATTGTCAATTATTACTTTATTAGACTAATGGGAAATTGAATAATTGTGATTTTAATTAAATATCCAAATATAGTTCTGTAACATTAAATTATTAGTTTATTACAATATCAATTATCGATTTATCGTATTCAAAGTACCAACTCATCAAATCATGGTCATGACGCGATCTTTAAAACAAGAAGTTGATAACGTGATAATAATCAATAATGAAACAATAATACATTAATACCTTATAAATTTATAATAGACTAATATTTAATAAACAACAACAAGACTATAACCAAACTTGAAACATAACACATTAACATGATATAGAATATGAGAATTTCTGTAATTCTATATAATCTGATATTTGAATCGATTTATCGTATTCAAAGTAGCAACTCATAAAAATATGGTCATGACACGATATCTAAAACAATCCAACAAGAAGCTGATAACCTGATAATATTTGATAATGAAACAATAATACATTATAAATTTATAATAGACTAATATGATAATATCTAATAAACAACAACAAGAGTATAACCAAACTTGAAACATAACATATTAACATGATATAAAATAATTGAATAAATAAAGATTTGTGTAATTGTATATAATCCGATGTCTGAAAATAAAGTGACAAAATACCAACTTGATATAAAACGAAACAAGCTAATCGGTCAAAAACTCTTTAAACCCAATTTCTACTCGATCCATTTTTTTTTTCACCAACCTATACTGACCTGCTAATGAAATGGAAATACTAGTCCCAACTTGATATAAAACAAAACGCGCTAACTGGTCAAAACCACTTTTTAGAACTCAATTTCAACCCGAATCAAACCGACTTTATCTAGTTCGCTAAAGAAATGAACCTTTTCAACCCGATCCAATTTAACCGATTACCAAACTAACCCGAATGATTTTAGCACCAAACCGAGTATAAACCGAACCGATATGAATCGAACTAGCATTAACTAGGGTAAACCCGCCAACCGACCCGTTTCAAAATAATTCGTTCATGACCTGAACCGATATGAACCTGAACCGACGTTGACCCGGTA